TGGACCATTTAATCAAGCTTAAGTGTTCTGGTCCTGGCCAGTGTTTTATTAACTTGTATTCTGTTGAGCAAAGTTATTCCTCTCTGTCATTCACCTTTGATAATAAATCCCTGAAAATAATGTATTTGAACGCTTAATAGAATAAGAGAATTATGCAAGAATATTTATTGTATAATACAAAAAGGACTTTCATAGTTTTAATGATCAGGTAGACTTGGAAATAATAGATGAATAAAATTGAGACAAAAATAACTTATTTTTTAAATTGTTCTTCAAAGGCCAAGAGAGGCCAATGTGAGAAGTAATAATATGGGGTTAAAAAATAGACAGTTTGTTAATAGTCTGTATGGTAATAGTGATAAATGGGGGACAGATAGATACTAGACCAATTAATTTGTTGATGCAAATCATACTATTTTTCTTGCTTTTGGGCAACAAAGCTTCATTTATCAGTTTATTGATCCTCTAAATTGTTGTATTGTACTCAGCTGACCGTTAAGGCCTTTGGGCCTCTTGTTTCATTACCTATTCGAAATGTAAAAGGTGGAAATATCACACAGCAACAATTTTTCAAATTCCCACTCACCAAGTTTTTTCTTTAAACCACGAAAATTGGACCCCAAGAAAATATTTGAATTTACAGTCTTTCTGAACTTTAATTATTGCAATTAAGTAATTCTGTCGATTTGCTAAATAAGAAGTGTTTTTTTTTTTTTTTTTTTTTTTTTTTTTTTTTTTTTTTTTTTTTTGCAATTTTATAGATTTATTGAAGAAATATGTCTTGATTAATTCAAGATCAGATCTTATTTGAATATCTACTAATATACTGTCTCTAATCAATTCCAATAAATTCATGTATGTATTTAAAAGTTTTTTTTTTGTATAGTTTATAATTTTTCTCCTCATATAATCTTCTTTGTCTTGATTATTTCGAGATCTAGCTACATTGAATTTTTGCAAGATGTGTAGGTCACCTGTGATTGTAATTTGTTTCCGACAAAAGTCTATATTTATTCTCTAATTTTAATATCGTCATCAGTTTTCATTCTAATTTTATGTTTAGTTGTATTGAAGTTTTTTGCAGACTCGATAAACCCAAGAAACTTTAATTCTTTGTTACTGAGTTGTAATTAGAGTTTATACCTAGAATAACTTTACCTTCAAGGACAAAGTTCTGTTTCAAACCTCTGCTATGTTTGCTTTAAAGATACATAACACAAACAAAAATCTGATGCCTGGATTGATATATATTTTTGACTGATTTTGAATGGAAATGACATAAATAATAAATCCCTAAAATATAAAGAAATCGTAAATTTTCTTTGGTGCTAAAATTTGCGACTTCGTTTTGTTTTCTCTATAATTCTATACAAAATTTTGCACATAATTTTAACATTGTGACAAAATCTCACAAAATTTTCCCACTTTACACGGCAAACATTATTCAGGTTACCTATTTGAATATATATCTATGAAAAATATTGCTGATTTCTGAAAAAAGAAGTTTGTATTATTCATCCTTAAGTTATATTTATTGGATAGCCAGTAAGCGGTAACCGTTATGTAAGTTTTCGAATAAAACTTAACCTTCACGGTAGCTCAGTCGGTGGAGCGCTCGCTCCGTGATCGGAAGGTCGTGTGTTCGACTCATGGCTGCGACTGACCTAAGTCGATAAAAATAGATAGCAACTGTTCCTTCGCCAAGCGCTCGGAACTTTGGAGTGAAAATAGCGGGTCCTTCAAATGAGACCTTAAGATCGAGGCTCGGTGACACAGTTGGCACGGAATAATTCTGAGTTGTTAAAATAGGTGACACATTTTTAATGACCTTGACAAGCACTTGTATATGAAAGGTAACGCGGGGTAACAAAATATGCGTAAAGCTTTTGACTGCATAGCCGTAAATTATGAAAACTAGTCAGGAGAGCCTCTTGGTTACTAAAATCAGTGTTCAAAATTACTCAGTCGTGAAATGTATGATCACCTGCATATTGATGATGGCAGGTTTATCAAAACCTTTAGATATACCCTTGATGTACTATAAATACACACATTGTTTTTCGATAATTACAGACGATATGAATTTCTGAATTTCTTGCAATCATGGTACGGCTGACGGAAGTTTCATAGGATCTGGCTTTTGCATTGCCTAAATTAAAAAAAAAAGGCAACAATAGGTTGTGCTTCAGTTTGTTTTGAAAGAAGATGGGCGTACTTGGCGTGCGATCTGCAGGAATAATGTGTACGAAACATTATGGTTTAATTGTCCACGATTTCGTCGGCTGACCAGAAGTGGACAAACTTTACAAAGTTACGCACAAAGAAAAATGTTTAGATTTTAAATTGAAGTAGCTTTCAAAGGACAAGGTTCATTTGATATAATATTTGGCCCTGAGAATTTCTAAAAATTAAAGTTTATACTGAATCAAAACTTTACATTGAAAATAAAGGTTGGATATATGCTTGTTAAAAAAATAAACCCAAACTTTGAGAATGTGTCCCCTGTATACTGTTTATCCGTGGTCAAATCATGCACGGAATACGTATTTCCGGAAAAATCGTTAAAAATCAGGGACTTAAAAGCATTTTTCGATAGGTCCGCATCATATCACCACTTTGAAATTTTCACAAATGAAACATCGATATGAAAGCAATTTATATGCATAAAATTACGATGGTGATATTGTGCGGACCATGTTTATTTTCAGAATATGTGTTCATTTTACAGCATGCAATACACATACATTAGACGGTCATTTGCTAGATATAAATAATATTGAGAATATACCTCGCCACCATCGCTAAAAAAAAATCCTTTAATGTCAAGCATAAAATCATAACATCAATATTACGAAGATCTGGTATGTATTAATTCTTTACATGTTGTTCGAATTCTGATACATTAGGCCTATATTAGTCTATCTACAGCATCTTACTTCCGCGCCCCTTAAGTAAGCGACAATGGTCCGAGTTAGACTACAATCTTAATGTTAGGTGGTTAAAGAAAGTAGCAGTTCAGAAAAAAATGCAGTATTTACACTTGTCGTATTTATAAATGTTATTTTACATTCAGTTTATAACCCAGTGCCTGTGTCCATAATCATCTCAAGCTGAACATTAAAACAATTTATACGTCATTTTTGAAAATTGACGTCACAATGGTTTCGCCGATCTATTTGGCCTGTTCGGAAAATGGACTATAAATTTACATGTACATGGACATGAATATTTTGAGCCATTATAGTGAAAATTAGGGGCTAACTTTCTAAGATAAAAGACAACTTGGCAAAATATCACTATAGATTTAACAATGCACCTCTCAGTGTAAAATATGTGAAATGTAGATCAGTTCCGAACATAATCTAGATTGTCATAAATCTTTTATCAATGACTTCAGTTACCTTTTTTGAAGAGTTCCATAAAAATTACCCGTAAAGCCATATACATCACATAAATGTATTTTGGTCACATCATTTCTCGAGATGGTCAAAAAGGGGTAATGTATAGCATTTTATGTACTTAATAAAATTAAATAAAGGTTAGGTGTAATCTAAAATGATAATAATGTAAAAAAAGAAGTAAACAATTAGCTTGAGGGGGGTGGGGGGGGGGTGGGTGGGTTATAAAATACTACATGAGTGATGATATCGGATGAAAGGGGGTCAGGTCCAATTGCTCTTCTTATATTCTTAACATTACTACATATAGATTGACAGACTTATGGAAACTGTATATGCATGAAAACATAATGAAGAAGTAACAAATGGCAGAAGATAAAATAAGGTTTTTTTTTTGAATGTGTAGTATGGAAAGGAGGAATGAGTTAATATACAATGAAAATTCACAAATATATATATATAATGAAAAACATATGGCTGGACCGGGAATCGAACCCGGGACCCCTGCATTAGTAGTCAGGTGCTCTAACCACTGAGCTATCCAGGCCGATTTCCTCAGTCCAGCCTAAATTCCTACATTCCTCCCTCCTTAAATAGTCTTCGCCCCCGAAGACGCAACACAGGTTCACCTTGCCAGGACTTAAAGTGACAGTACGGCGCATCTCATCAAAAAACTGACTAGATAAAATTTTCCAACAAGATTTGGAATTTTTTTACTACTTATAAATGTATAAACTTTCAGAAAATTACAACTTTTACAATTAAATAATTTGGATTATTTCATTAAAATTAATAGTTATTTATGGGACGTAAATATATACATCGCAACGTGTTCGGGGTTCCACATTCCATGCTATGCACGCATGCGTAGTTTTCATAAAAAAAATCATGGTTTGAGAGGGAATCCCGGTAGGCCTGCTACATTGACAAAGTCGACTAAAAATAAAAAAAAAACTGAAAATAGAACTTGAAAAAGCAACTTTCCTGACTAAAATTTAGTTTGGGGATTAATATAATCGCTGGATAAGGAAGAAACGGGAACTCGGCGACACTCACGCAGGGCTCGCGAAGGTTCTATTCGACAGGTTTGTTGATACTTGTTATCATTTCTCATTTTTCCGTCGCTTTCAAAGAAAAAAAAATAGTGTAAACTCAGCATAGAAAAAACATCTTTGACTTATAAACATTGTTGCCATTTGAAATGGTAATTTTTTTTAACTGTGCAGAAAAATATTTTGTTTGACATTTGCCGCGATAACGTATGATTAGTTGGTTTTTCCTTTCTCGGACCCCAATACACAAAACGTCAACATTTGTACTTTTAATTCTTTTAAATTCGCCTGAATGCAGACTAAAATCTTTACGACTATTATTTTAGAATATTTACATTTGCAAATGTTTTCCCTTATATAACATTACTCTGAGCAATACGTATCTATAACTGTATAAATACCTATACGGGGTCAACAGAGGTCATGGATGTGCGTATGAATATTTATGAAAACTAGGTTAACGGCACTATTTTTACTAAGGCAATACACATTTATCGATCGCTTCCGCTTATTGCAGAAGTCTAAAAATAGATATAACCAACATCACAAATTGTATTTATCGTTTTATTTGTATTCCAAGCAGTGGACTCAATCAATAATAAAACATTTCTGCAAAACAATGTCTTATTCATGTATGTCTAAATTTTCGTCTGCTACACTGACCCCAGGTCACTCTAATGTAAACAATGGCTGAATTTGGCAACTTTGATATGGGTGACGCAGAAATGTACCTTCTGCTAGACGATGACATATTTGCATCACTAGATCTTTCCTTTATGGCACCTCTGAGTGTTGAGGAAACTAATGAAATGGAGAAAGAGCTGAAAGTATCAGATATGGAGGGTCTGCCATGTCCTGGTGTGCCTGTTCATACACCCCCACCAGCAAAGAGATTCAAATCTATCTCCGAAAATGAAATGCAGAACTTTCAGGATGCAAGGCAATCTGTATCTACAAAAAGAAACACAAAATGGGGAATCAAGTTGTTTCAAGGTACATTTCACAAGTCAAATCATATTATTGTCAATATTTTAGCTGGTTTGCTGTTTATTTGATCACATTGAGCACAAAATCATGAGTAAAATATGAAATATAATAGTTAAACCAATAACCATTTAGTAAAAGTTTACAACAAAGAAAAGTTGATCCATGATGATTATGATATGTCCGTGTAAGAGAGGCAAGTACATGTTCTATTGTATATTATCTATATGTACAATGAACAGACACACTCACCACCAACAAAGACACACGTGTAAAAACTAAAATACTATACCTAGAGTAGACCAATATGCACAACAAGTGCACAACAAATAACTTGTATGAAATACATGTATCCAATAACAATGCAAACTGCATTAAAAATTTCTCAAAATATTAATAAAATTTGAATCAAATGACATGCAAAAACTTGAGGAAAATTGTTAAAAAAGTAAATAAATAAAACACTGATAAAATAAAAAATTCAAACACTGCAAGAAATATTTCCAATTAATTTTTAGATTGGCACTTGGAAGCCTTTGGTGAACATCTTGACTTCTTGACAGTCACTGCAGAATTGCTAGCTAACAGATTAAGAAAGTTTTATTGTGAGGCAAAGCCCAAAGAATCGAAAAAACGGTCTGTAGAACTTACTGAAATACAAGCAGAAACTTACCACAAAAACTCCTTGAAAAGTCTCAGATCTGCAGTAAACAGGCACCTGCAGGATTTGAGTAGGTCGATTGATGTCGTAAGAGACAAAGAATTTAAAGCTGCCAATCACACCCTTGATGGGATGTTAAAATGTATGACAAAAACGGGGGCTTCAAGGGCCACAAACCACAAAGAAGTAATCCATACAGAGGATTTACAGAGAATCTCCTCCTATTTCAAATGTGCACCATCTTCTCCTATTGTTCTGCGACAATGTGTGTGGTACAACCTTTCCATTCATTTCATTTCCCGTGGTTTAGAATTTCACCATCAGTTACGCAGGGACTCATTTATGTTCCAAAAGGATGAAAATGGCCTACAATATGCCACACTTAGACATGAAACGCAACAAAAAAATTTCCAGGGTGGCATTGGATGTCATGAAGCCCCTTCGGACAAAAGAATTTATGAGATACCAGGGAATGATTTGTGTCCAATAAAGATGCTTCAGCTTCTGATGAGCAAAACAGATAAAAATGCTACTCACCTCTTTAATTCATGCTTTAAGGATGCTCTCTCTCTTCCAGGTCTGCAAGAAGTGTGGTACACTGATAAACCTTTAGCAAAAAGGTCATTCACAGGATTCATGGCCGATATATGTAAATCGTCAAAATGCATGAGGACCTACACACCACACTGCCTCCGTGCCACAGCCATCACAGCCATGAGTGATGCCGGTTTCCAAGCACGCCAAATCATGTTTATGTCGGGACATCGAAGCGAGGCGTCCTTGAAAACATATAACAGAAATCTATCGAATCAACAGAAGCGTTTGGTGAGCTCATGTTTGTCAACAATCACAAATCCCAGTGACAATTGTCCCTTACCCACCTGTACTTCCACTTCTACATCCTCTGCGATGTCAGTTCTTTCAGGAGATTCATCTGCGTCTTGTGTTCTATCAATGAATGAATTGCCTACACCTGTCGACTGCAGCCCTGTTCTTCAAGTTCCTCCACCTCAGTCTTCTGTTAACTCAGTAATGTCCACGGAATATCTTTCAAAGTCAGTCTTCAACAACTGCGTCTTCAATTTTCAAAAGTGAAAGGGCGCATAACAACTGTAACACTGCGCACCCCATTCGCAATACGTTTTCAACAGTTTTTCAAAAAACTACCGATTGAGACATAAAAATGATTTTTTTAGTTATAAACTCTTAATTTATTTATATTTCTTTGTTGATACCTTTGCCCTCGAGCTTTATTATAATTAAACAGTTTTACATTTGATGGAACTTTGTTTTGTGTTTACGTCATTTTGAACGAAGCGTTATGTAGGTCAATGTGAAATGTATGGAAACGTGTTGCAAACAGAATTCAGCAATAGTTATCGATCACAAATGTAAATATAAGTAATAAGGTATCATTTTTAAACATCTATCGGGCTATAAATACGGGTTGGTACGAGATCAAATTTACCATAAAGCCCTTCGGGCTTTATGGAATTTGATCTCGTGACCAACCCGTATTTATATCCCGATAGATGTTTAAAAATGATACCTTATTTCTTAATTATTTTATCAGAAAGTTATGATAATTTGTGTTTTTGAAAATTGCTTTCACCTAATATTCATTATAACTGTAAACTCTACAGTGTAGGCACGTGCCGTTTTAGAATTCACGTGGTACAAATAAACAGATCTAAGATTGCTCAAGTTCGTACGACCCTTGCTTTTCCGGCAGATTCTAATTAGGTTAATTTTGTTTGAGTAGAGAATATTTCTGTTTCTCAAACTGCTTACATCAACTTTACACCTTATTTCTTAATGACATATTGGGTAAATTTGGATGAAAAAGCACACATTTTGCAGCCGTACTGTCGCTTTAACATTAATTACATGTATATTCATTATATTGCCTGAACAAGGTAGGCCACGGCACCATCTGTAGTATGGAAAGGAGGAATGAGTTAATATACATTGAAAATTCATAAATATATATATAATGAAAAACATATGGCTGGAATCGAACCCGGGACCCCTGCATTACTAGTCAGGTGCTCTAACCACTGAGCTATCCAGGCCGATGTCCTCAATCCAGCCTAAATTCCTACAATTGTCAAGAATCACGTAGTTTACTTGTGCTCCTTCTGTATTAATATCCAAAAAGTATTGCCTATTTGCGCGCACATGCAAAACTGAAATTCTGATTGTTTACTAAAATAAATATTAATCTTTGCTAAGAAATGATAAGTATATATCCACGGATCTCTGTGGATAAGTGAAATATTCTCGAACTGTAATGCAGTGATCGTAGAAAATATAGTTGATTTCATTCTTGTTAATTGTTTCAACTGAATGGTAAAATTGAAATAAAATATAAATAGGGTGTCATAGAACATAGAAAATGATTAATGAATGCACATACAATGTATAAGCATCGGATTTATTATGAAATGGATTCCTCGGTGCTGGATTTTGTAGAAAATGTCGTTCTCACAGGTTATTGAAATAATGACTTCCTGGATATCAATATCAACAATCTAGTACGTATTTCAAAGACGGGTCCAGCACCCTCCCCCCCCCCCTTTCGATTTTTTTTTTTTTTTTTTTTTTTTTTTGCTTGTGTGCATTTTCTTTGTTTAGCCTGTTTATACTCTCAATTTATCCATACGTAACGTTCTGGCACGTAGTTTCAGTGCTGATTCCGATTCGAAAAATGTTTCATGTCGAAAAAAAAAATGTGAACCTGCCCCCTTCATGGGTAATTGGTAAAGTTTTACTTGAAATTTCATTACCACGATGAACATAATGATACTTTTTTTCACGTCAACCCCTTTTTTTTTCCTTTTTTATTTTTTGTCATCTTTAAAATATACAATTAATTATCAATAATTATTTACTAAGTAATTACTAATTACTTATGCCTTAATTTCTACGCCTACTATACGTGATATAAGAACTATAAATATTTCATGTAATCAAAGTCCTCTTTGAATAGACCCCCCCCCCCCCCCCCCATAGAACATGTAAAAAGTATCAACTGTACTGCCTGCTTCCTTTCCCCCGAGTTACAAAATAAGATTAATATTGCTTTCTGTTTGTTATGAACAAAGGACCATCTATTTTCAAGAGTTCAGGTTCACAATATTAGATTGACGTATTCTTAATATTATATTAGTATACAGTTAAAGTATAATTATCATTGAGGAAGTTAGCAAGTTCCAGTTCCCCATGGCCAGGACTATTTCCCGAGGTGAAGCCGAGGGAAATAGTCCTGGTCGAAATGATATACTTTTAGTCCAGGTCCAGATGATATACCTTTAACTGTTTTTTTTATACCGATACAAACGTAAAATGTAGAGGATTCAGATAGTGTGATTTCAAAGCAGGGATTAGCTCACTGAACTAACACATGGACATTAGTCCATTCATATATCATACCAATGTAAAAGTAAAATCTAGAGGATTACGGATAACCGTGAATTAGCTTTCGAAGCAAGGATTAGCTCACTTGACTGACACACGGGGATTATTCCATTCTTAACGATTTCTAGGGAATTAGTCACATCTAACGATCTAATGTTATATAGGGAAAAAATCAGTAGAGGTTTAATAAACCAAGATAAAGTAATTGAATACTGTATTTACATATTGATTACCAATTTAATAAACAACAGTGATTTCTGTTCACTAACACTCGATTGTATTTGAACAATTTTCCAAGGGAAATAAGGCAGGCACTTTATCCTGGAAATGAACTAGATTAGCTCATAATGTACACCTTTATATGATAAAATGTTCTCAAAGTCTAAAAAATGTTTTCCCTTGGTGTTTAGAGCTTCCTTAAAACACACGCTTGCATAGGTTGTCGTTACAAAGGTATATCGATTACTTAGAGGAAGCAGTAAGAGATCCGAAAAGGGGGGGGGTTATCCGGACACCACCCCGATAAATACCCACCACTTATATAAAATTCATATAGCAAATTACCAAAAATATGAAGGAGGAAGGGTCAAGTAAACTTTGTAAAGTTGGTAAGACATGTAGGAAGGTAAAGTGACATCCCCCCTTTCAAAATAGGTTTTTCAGGTTTAGGTTAGTTTTCTTTTCTTTAAATAAGGTTTTGTCCTTTGGGTCGATCTTTTTTTTTTTTTTTTTTTTTTTTTTTTTTTTTTTTTGAGTTGGTGTGGAACACCTTTTTCTGGGAAAAATTACAGGAAAATTCCTCAATTGCGCTGTCTAATTTTTCCGCGATTCCACATTGCTTTTCCGCGAAAAATCCTTCTTTACCCTGAAGTACTAGTGTTTTTTTCTTTTCCGCGAAAATCTTCTCTTAACCAGGTAGTACATTTTGCTCCTTGTCTACCACGGGGATGAATTATTGTAAAAGTCTCTAAAACATCGTTAATAGACCAGGTAGATTGTAGGTCATCGTCGCAATAACCTATACATCTTCACAATGTCAAGGTTTTGAGAAAAATTCCTATTTAAAAAGGTAGTGAAGAGAAACAATATCACAAAACCTTGACAATGTGAAGATGTATAAGTTAATACGTAGAAAATGTCGTTGAAACATGCTGTCTGTTCAATAACCCATAGATCCTAATATATTCATGTGTCGGAACAAGCTTCAATTTTGAAGAAAAAAAAAGGTAAATTAATTGCTGATAACTTCGATGTTGGAATATTTCCGAATTGCTGAAAGAAAAGAATAAACGAAGGTTCACATCCTTTCCTTTTTTAAGGATGGGCTCTACCTCTGGACAGTGCAAATAAAATATTATAATAGGTAGATACAGGTAAACTTATGTAAATCAAACCACAGAAAAGCAGTGTCAAGTAGGGAGCGTAAACTGGTTTTTTTTGGGTTTTTTTGTTTTTTGTTTTTTTTTTTTGAAAATATAATGCAGATAAGCAGGAAGATATATTATTACACACAAAATCATTTCCTTGAACACCTGCAATCAAAATCCAAGAAAAAGTTAAACGGTCCTTTAAGTCTTTTTTTACAAAGCTTGGCAATTACGGATCGTTAAGTTAAAAAAATAAAACCAATACTTTGCTTCGCAGCTATGTTAAGGCTTCCCGAAGCTTTAAAATGCGCTCAAAACATAATATGTCATTGCGAGGTCGGTTTTGGTTTTAATTTATAAATATTGAACTTTAGTACTTCCAATTTATATAAAGGGTTTCCTCGGCTATATATTAGTATATTTGTTATGATATCACATGACTTTGTTGATCACGTGACGGTCATTTATAATTTTTGGAAGTGTTTCATATAAATCGCTTCGGCGCAGCTGATTAACACAATAATTATTTACATTTTGTTATATAAATAAACTCATCGTATCCTTGTGTATCCGAAATGTGCTTGGGAAAAGTCATAGTATTACTTGGGTACAAAATATTTCCTGAGAAATTCAACTTACCTACAAATTTGAGGGTATTTTCCACACAATATCGTAATCTGTATTAAAACAAAGCCAACACACATTTTTCCCAAGCAAGATTCAGTTAGAGAACAACCTCTTCTTACAGATTTCCACAAAAATTCTCAAATTAATCCTCATTAATCACCTGCGCCAGACTCTTTTATACACACAAAACAAATTCTACCTCCAACCACGGGTATAAAACAGAGTACATTTCAAAAGTATATTTTTCATAAGCATTTTGAACATGATGAATTTCAATCAAGGGTAGGTAAGCGGTGTATTTTTAAAATATTCGGACATATAAGACTTAAAAAACCTTTAACGACCCGTGAATTTTGCAATAGCTATCTAGCATTTTACATGCAGTTTGAAATAAAGTGTAAAGTTCATGACACTCTCCCCGTCATAACACCTCAAGTTTGCAGTGACCTGACGTCATTTTCCATTATGACGTCATATTTTGGTAGTTCAGAGATGTGAAGGCACAGAGTGCACTGTCATATTCTACGGGAAGCCTTAACCTACCTGCGTTGTGCCAAAGGGGGGCTCGGAAATTCAGAAATCCGCTTAGAATGTACTCTACATGTACACCCCTTTTTTCCCTTATGATTCAAAAATTTTCAAAGCCAACCATACCAATTGATTTAAGATTTGTCTTTAATTATGAAAAATAATTTAGTAAG